GTGCCGGTGTCCCGGTGCCGGTGTCCTGGTGCCGGTGTCCCGGTGCCGGTGTCCTGGTGTCGGTGTGGTGGGGTCTGGGGTCTGTCTGGTGGGGTTTGGGGTCTGTCTGGTGGGGTCTGGGATCTGTTTGTGGGGTCTGGGTTCTGTCTGGTGGGGTTTGGGGTCTGTCTGGTGGGGTCTGGGGTCTGACTGGTGGGGTCTGGGATCTATCTTATGGGGTCTGACATCCATCTGGTAGGGTTTGACACCTGTTTGGTGGGGTTTGACACCTCTCTGGTGGGGTCTGACATCTGTATGGGGGGGTCTTGCAGCTTTGTAGTGAGGTCTCCCATCTCCAGGGAGGGGTGTCTTGTTGATAAGGAGCTTTATCATTGCAGAGGGGGTTGAACTTCCACAGAGAAGCTGCTCAGGGGGTGGGACACCTACTTGAGGTCTTGTCCCACCTACTTGAGGTCTTGTCCCACCTACCTGAGGTCTTGTCCCACCTACCTGAGGTCTTGTCCTACCTACCTTACGTCTTGTCCCACCTACCTGAGGTCTTGTCCCACCTACCTGAGGTCTTGTCTCATCCATCTGGGGGATCTCCCATCCACTGGGGAGGTGTCCCAGTCCACTGGGGAGGTGTCCCAGTCCAGCAGGGAGTTGTCCCACCTGTGCTCACCCTCTTTGCCCCCCGTGCAGGACTGCCAGGAGCTCACTGATGTGGAGAGGGCCATCGAGACCGTCATCAACCAGTTCCACTGCTACGCTGTGAAGGGCCAGAAGGAATATCTGACACCCAATGAGATGCAGGAGCTGGTGGTGCAGAAGCTGCCCCACCTGGGGAAGGTGAGGGGAAAAGCCAGGGGTGGGCAGGGGGAGCTGGGGTGGGCACGGGCCACCCATGGGACCCCACAGCTTCATCATCCTGATGAAGAGAAGGCTCCTGGGAGACCTTAGAGCACCTTGGAAGGGGCCTACAGGAAAGCTGGGGAGGGGCTTTGCATCAGAGCAGGTGGGCCAGGGGTGATGGTTTTAAACTGAGATAGATTTAGGTGGGATAAGAGGAAGAAATTCTTCACTCTCAGGGTGGTGAGGACCTGGGATGGGTTGTTGATGCCCCATCCCTGGAGGTTTTGGACAAGACCTGGTCTAGTGGTTCCCTGCTCGTGGGAGGCGGGGGGTTGGAGCTGGGTGATCTTTGAGGTCCCTTCCAACCTTGATGACTCTGTGATGCTTTTTCTCCTCCCTCCCTCCCCAACCCTGGGCAGTGTGTTGGCCCATTGGAAGAGAAGATTGAATGCATGGGAGACCCCGACGAGGCCAAGCTGGAGTTTGGGGAGTACTGGGACATGATGGGGGACGCGGCCAAGGGCTGCAGGAGGAAGAAGGAGGAGGTGGTTGGGGATGGGAAAGGCACCCGAGACTCTGTGATGCTTTTTCTCCTCCCTCCCTCCCCAACCCTGGGCAGTGTGTTGGCCCATTGGAAGAGAAGATTGAATGCATGGGAGACCCCGACGAGGCCAAGCTGGAGTTTGGGGAGTACTGGGACATGATGGGGGACGCGGCCAAGGGCTGCAGGAGGAAGAAGGAGGAGGTGGTTGGGGATGGGAAAGGCACCCGAGGCCTCGGGCTCTGCACCCACAAACGAGACAGGGGGATGGTCCCAGTGAGAAGCACCTGGGAAACCTGCTGGGACCCAGGGAACCCCCCCC